TTCCTAGACAGTCGCTTCCCATCTTGTATGTATGGAACTGATTGTTCCTTCCTAAGTGGAGCACTCTGCATTTCTCCTTATTAAACCTCATCCTGTTTACCTCTGACCATTTCTCTAACTTGCTAAGGTCATTTTGAATTATGTCCCTATCCTCCAAAGAAGTTGCAACCCCACCCAGTTTGGTATCATCTGCAAACTTAATAAGAGTACTCTCTATCCCAATATCTACATCATTGATGAAGATATTGAACAGTACGGGTCCCAAAACAGACCCTTGAGGAACTCCACTTGTTATCCCTTTCCAGCAGGATTTAGAACCGTTAACAACAACTCTCTGACTACGGTTATCCAGCCAATTATGCACCCACCTTATCGTGGCCCTATCTAAGTTATATTTGCCTAGTTTATCAATAAGAATATCATGCGAGACCGTATCAAATGCCTTACTAAAGTCTAGGTATATGACATCCACCGCTTCTCCCTTATCCACAAGGCTCGTTATCCTATCAAAGAAAGCTATCAGATTAGTTTGGCATGACTTGTTCTTCACAAACCCATGCTGGCTATTCCCTATCACTTTATTACCTTCCAAGTGTTTGCATATGATTTCCTTAATTACCTGCTCCATTATCTTCCCTGGGACAGACGTTAAACTGACCGGTCTATAATTTCCTGGGTTGTTCTTATTCCCCTTTTTATAGATGGGCACAATATTTGCCCTTTTCCAGTCTTCTGGAATCTCCCCTGTCTGCCATGATTTTTCAAAGATCATAGCTAAAGGCTCAGATACCTCCTCTATCAGCTCCTTGAGTATCCTGGGATGCATTTCATCAGGACCTGGTGACTTGCTGACATCTAACTTTCCTAAGTGATTTTTAACTTGTTCTTTGTGTATCCTATCTTCTAAACTTACCCTCTCTCTGCTTGTATTCACTACGTTAGGCACACCTCCAGACTTCTCGGTGAAGACCGAAACAAAGAAGTCATTGAGCATCTCCGCCATTTCCAAGTTCCCTGTTACTGCTTCTCCCTCCTCACTAAGCAGTGGGCCTACCCTGTCCTTGGTCTTCCTCTTGCTTTTAATGTATTTATAAAAGGTCTTCTTGTTTCCCTTTATGCCTGTAGCTAGTTTGATCTCATTTTGTGCCTTTGCCTTTCTAATCTTGCCCCTGCATTCCCGTGTTGCTTGCCTATATTCATCCTTTGTTAGTTGTCCTAGTTTCCATTTTTTATATGACTCCTTTTTTATTTTGAGATCATGCAAGATCTCCTTGTTAAGCCAAGCTGGTCTTTTGCCATATTTTCTATCTTTCCTACACAGCGGAATTGTTTGCTTTTGGGCCCTTAACAACGTCCCTTTGAAGTCAAACTCTTCTGGCTCATCCCTGAACGCTATTTATTTTGGAGTATCTCCAATGGTGTGTGTGTGTGTGTGTGTGTGTGTGTAAAATCAGAACTGTTCTGTTCCTCCAACATTATCCATCACAGCTTACTCCATGTTTCCTGTGATCACACTCTTGAGTATTTCCAAGCAGTATTTGGCCTGTAGAAAGTTTGAATTGGCTGCCTTCAATAGGCGTGAGGGTTCTGAAGATAATACTAGATGAAAGATTCTGGCTCCCATTGTGGGCAGGGAGGGGCAGGCTGAAAGAAACATGTGCTTCCAGTACTTTGCTGAAGAATCATCCAAAAGGGAGTGTATTGGTTTTGTGAGACTTACAGGTTTCTATAAAAGCGACGAGGAGTCCTGTGGCACCTTATAGACTAACTGAAGTGTAGGAGCATAAGCTTTCGTGGGCAAAGACCCACTTCGTCAGATGCATGTAGTGGAAATTTCCAGAGGCAGGAATAAATATGCAGGCCAGGTTTCTATAAAACTCAGTAATGCTGTGTGTAGATAGATAGTAAAGATAGAATTAAACCCCAATTCATGGGTAAAATAATCAGATTAAATAAAATAACATTTGACAAATACATAAATTTATTTTGCAAATTTGGGTCCATATTCGGTTGTAGTTACTCGAGATGAATGGTCCCAGTAGTCAAGGGAACAACTTATATAGGTGCTACTTGTTATGGCACTAACAACCTGGCCTTCGGTGTTCTTTACTTCTTGAGTACCCTCAGCTTCCTCTGCAAGCACACCTCAGAGGATCAGGCCCTTAATGGATGAGAAAGTTGTCAGACTTGACACACTGGCTTCTCTTCTTGGATGTATCCACAAAACAAGCTTCTGCCCACTGCCCTGACAATGTGCTCCATTCCTGGCCCCTCTAGGTTAGTTCAGCTCCTGGGGCTTATTCAGTCCTCCACCTTTGCAATGAGACTGTCGACAGTGATGCCAATTGGTGATGTGTGTGATGCAGACACATCTCCATCTATATGCAGACTAAATACCAATTTGCTCACATGGTCCACCAAAGAGCAGTCAGGTTGTGACAGCTTTCAGATACAGATAGAGAGAGGCCAGATTCAGCCAGTTACCCAGCAATGAAAAGCTCAGTCTGCTTAGGTAAGTCTTGGTCCAGTCCTGTATGATTCTCAGCGCCTCATAGAACTATACTCTATTTCAGACAGGCTACATCTAGACTGCAGGCTTCTTTCAGAAGAAGCTTTTCCAGAAAAGATCTTCTGAAAAAACTTCTTCCAAAAGAGAGCGTCCACACTGTGAAAGTTCATCGAAAAAGCAATCTGCTTTTTCGAAAGCTAGCGTCCAGACTGAATGGATGCTATCTCACATTTAAGCTATGATTACTATGGACAGAATGGCCACCAGGGCACTTGTGCTTTTTCCTCTTTCCTCTTCTTCCAAAAGAACTCTCTCTCCCCCAGCCACACACTTCTTTTTCCAAAAGAGCTCTTTCACAAAAAGGCTTCTTCCTCATAGAAATAAGTTTACCAATATTGGGAAAACCCTACTGTTCTTTCGATTTTTTTTGTCGAAAGCACGTGATTGCAGTGCAGAAGCTTGCAGTGTGGACGTAAGTGAAGTTTTTTGGGAGAAACGGACGTTTTTCAGAAAAAACTCTGTAGTGTAGACATAGCTACAGAGACCTTAATCATGTTGCTTTTTCTAAGTAGCTTCTGCCTGCATAATTTATTAATGTTTGCAAAGTGCTTTGAGATCCACCAGCTAGAAGAACTGGTATAAGTAAAATGCAGGACAATGTAGCACTTTAAAGACTAACAAGATGGTTTATTAGATGATGAGCTTTCGTGGGCCAGACCCACAAAGTAGTCTTTTTCTTATTATTGCTATTATTGTACTTTGGGTTAAAAGTTGTCATGCAAGACAATTGCCAGTGCTTACCAAGATATATGGATCTCATTATGTATCTGAATGCCTCACAACACCCTTCTAGGATAGGGACATGCTGTTTATCCCCATTTTACCAATGGAGCAGTTGAGGCACAGAAAGAATAAGTGACTTGTCCAAGGATACATAGTGGTGCTGCCCATGTTTCTAAAACAAAATTGGACAAGCTCTTGTCCAGTTTATGAATATATACATTCAGGGAGCACTTTTTTTTCCCACCAGCCCTGCAAACAAACGCTATCATGGACTCAACTAGTACCCTCAATGACATTCATGCATGGGGCGTTCATGTCTGGGCAGAGTGTTGCTGAAATTTCTGAATGACTTTGTTTTCCAGTTTGTAACCCCCTTTGTGCTTCTGCTGGGAAAGTAATACAGCTCTCAGTTCTCTGGACCTGTCAGATTTATCAGCATGGAGGATTTCATCCTCTCCAGTTCCTCCCTAATGTCATTTAGCTTCCTAAAAAAACTTTGGGGGCATTGTAACTGGCTCCTGTATTTTTTTCTTTTTGGCTAGTCTGAAAGTTTCTGGGGACTTCATCTGCTATATATTTTCCAAAGATTGAATTTACTTCTGGAACCATCTAATGAATGTATGAAACAACTCAGGAGGCCAGCCTTTACTTCCTGGTTTCAGCCCCAGGGCATGTGCCAGGCTTTCAGTAGGATTTACCTCTGTCATATGGCATGGTATCCTTGATTCCTGTGATTGCTGTTACAATAGCTCTCCTGGCTTCATGTGTCAGACTCATCCCATATGTAATTCTACTGATCACAAGACAGATGAATTTGTCCCTTTGTGCACAAATATATTATTGATGTAAACACTAGACATTGTATAGGCTGTGTCTTGTGGAGATTGAGCTATCGCATACAGTCCATACTTCTGTGGTAAGAGACTCCATGTTTCTGCTTTACTGAGTGCAAATTTACACTCAGTAGGATGGCCAACTACATACATTTCAGAATGTCAGGAAAATCTCCAGTGCAAATGGAATTCAGGCAGGCTGGAGTTCTTTAGAAAACCGCTACATGTTTGGAGGATAAAATGCTAATCTTACAACTAAACCAGTGATAACAATAATGGGAAGTTAGAAACAAAAATACCTAGAATAGATCATACCTTAAATTCAGTACCTGTAAAATCATGCTTTACACTGACTACTTCTGGTCACTTTTATACATGATCTGAGGGTTAGAAAATGTGACGTATAGTGCTAGACTGAAGGAGCTCAATTTATTTAGTTTAATAAACAGAAGGTAAAGAGGTGACTTGATCACAATTTGTAAGTACCTATATGGGGAACAGAAATCTGATGATAGATGGTTATTCTATCTAGCAGACAAAGATATAACAAAAAACAATGGCTAGAAGTTGACACTAGATAAATTCAGACTGGAAATAAGATGCAAATAGGAACAACTTGCTAAAGGTTTTTGTGGATTCCCCATCGCTGGTATGTTTTAAATCAAATTTGGATTTCCTCCCTCCCATAAAAGACCTGCTCTAACTCAAATGGGAATTATTTTAGAGGAGTTCTATGGCATGTGTTATACAGGAGGGCAATATAGATGAGCATAATGGCCTTAGAATATATGAGTCATAAAGTGAGAGGTGTTTTCATTAAAGAATGCTGGTTTGGAGAAAAGCATCTGTAAAATGGTCTCATTTTTCTGTTTCAGGATTGCAGGGGACACTGCCCTCAGCAAGAATATCCATGAGTCTGTCAGCGCGCAGATCCGAAAGAACTTTGCAAAAAGCAAATGGAGAGTAAGTGCAACATTCTCAGGGGGCTACACTGCAAGGGTATGTCTACACTACCCTCCTAGTTCGAACTAGCGGGGTAATGTAGGCATACCACACTTGCAAATGAAGCCCGGGATTTGAATTTCCCGGGCTTCATTTGCATAAACTGGGTACCGCCATTTTTAAATCCCTGCTCGTTCGAACCCCGTGCCGCGTGGCTACACGCGGCACGAACTAGGTAGTTCGGACTAGGCTTCCTAGTCCACTCCTCGTGGAATGAGGAGTAACGGTAGTTCAGACTAGGAAGCCTAGTCCGAACTACCTAGTTCGTGCCGCATGTAGCCGCGCGGCACGGGGTTTGAACGAGCAGGGATTTAAAAATGGCGGTGCCCAGTTTATGCAAATGAAGCCTGGGAAATTCAAATCCCGGGCTTCATTTGCAAGTGCGGTATGCCTACATTACCACCCTAGTTCGAACTAGGAGGGTAGTGTAGACATACCCCAAGCTATTACCACTCGCCTGTTTTCTAAAGTAGGCACTACCTTCCTATACATGGCATTGCATTACTGTCTTTCAAAGGGATGTAGTCATTTTTTTTGTGCCTCAGAATTTTAGGTAGAATAGTACCACTTGCATTAGCTATAGCTGCTGCACTGGGAATTGAACCAGGGAACCTCTAGACCCAAAACTTGCTCACAGAGGAGGCTGTAGGACCCACAGCAATTATATAAGTGCCACACACTGGAAGCCAGAGTTACAGGCTCAAGGCTTAAGAAGGGCTTATTTTATTTTCTCTGTATCTAGATTATAAAAGAATAACTCCTAAAAGCTATTTTAAAAAAATGTGTATCTGACAGTTCTGAAAGAAAAGAATACATTCACAACCATGTGTTTGTGTGGTTTTTTTTCTTCCCAGCAAGCATTTAATGCCACTGCAGTTGTGAGACACATGAGAAAGTTACATCTTGGCAGTAGCTTGGACAGTTCAAATGCAAGTGTGGCAAACACCCTCAGCCTGGCCAATCCGCTTCCCGATGGAACAACCAGAAAAGATTGTAAGTACATGACAGCAAAGCAACAGTGCTTCCAACTCCTAGCAGGGTACAGGTGATCAATCAGCAGTCATCCTTCGTTGCTCTATCCCGCAACGTGTGAAAGCAACTCTGCTTTCCTCCTATCAGCTCTGTTCAGCCCAACAAATTTGACCCTATAATATTTTCACTTTCCCTGGGGGAAAAAAGACTAATTTCTGATTGGTTGTTATATTTACACCTTGGCTGAACCACTGGAAGTGGCAAATCATCTCTAATCTCAGTGAACACAAATCCCTTTTATTTTAGCAGAAGGCAGACCTCTTACACCAAGACCAGATTTGGCCCAGCATCTTGATTGTTATATATTATGACTGATATTTCAAAGCTGTCTAAGGGATTTGAACACCCAACCTATATACTTTTCTAAATGTCAGAGGTAGCAGCCGTAGGGATTATTTGGGAGAGTGCAGAGTTTCCTTTACAATGAAGTTCTTTCTCATCCCTACTCTTTGACCATTGATTTATTCTTCCTGGCTCACGATCTTTTGTGGCATATACATCACAAAAAGCCAATTAAACTGGGGATATAAACATAACTATTAGTTCAGGACCTATTAAATGGAGATTTAAGATGTGGAACTGAATAGGCATGCTAATGGCTTCTTAGACTGCAAGTTACTGCTCAGTTTCAGTGAAGGCTTAATTGGCTCCTTCCACAGCAACATGACAGAGTGTTTGATTCACTGTACTATGTTGTATATGGAACTATATGTTTAGTCCTTAACTTTTGGGCCAGATTTTGGCTGACCCTGTTTTCTCCCCTTCCTCCTCTACCCACTACCATGCACCTCCTTGCAAATTCCTTCCACATCAGTTCCTGAATGCAAGGAAGTACACGGGGTCTCGGTTAAAAGACGTGACAGCCCCAGTTCTGGCGTGCACTTTGGAAGCACTCCTACTGCTTCAGCCAGAATGCCTGCAAGGACTACAGCTGCTGCCAAACCCCTCTGCTTCACTCCCCTACCCAACTCAAGCAATGTTTTAGCCAAAATATAGCCCATTCCATTTGCATTTCAGGCATTGTAGCAATTCATGCAGATAATCTTTATTGGTGGAAATATATCATACTAAAAACCTTTTTGCCTGGAATACATCACTCCAGCCTAGTGCCACGTGCTCCAACAGCCTATGGGAAAGCATTGATTTTCTCCCATGTGGTCTTCTTAAATCACCCAGCTGACACCTGAATATGAATAATATGCAGCCTTTTATCTACACATCACTTCAACTGTGGAGCTAAACCTTTTTCACTATGGTAGATAATGCAGCAGGGAGCCTGTTTCATGAAGACCTGAGATTTTATTATGAGTCTGAGTATAGTTACAAATGCAGGACCTAAGGCCCAGAGAATACGATTGCAATTGCTGGTTTGACTGTTAACCTCAGATAAGGGAAAATTAAACTATCAAAGCCTCTGACCTCATGTGGGTTTTGTTTTATTATCATGAGGAAATCATTGTTACAAGGGGTGATGAATGAGAGGATGAAACCAAGAATAAAACCCACTTAAAACTGTTGCAAATGCTAAGATAACCCAGTACAATACATGGCAATGCAATGCTACAAAATGATGGATTAAGCAGCCAAGGACATTAAGAGTGAACCAGACATGCTGAGCTGGTTATATTTGTAGGTCAGCTGGAATTTAAAGCAGAAAAGAATGACAAGATTCTCTAGCATCCCAAAATGAATACAGTCATAGAATCATAGAACTGGAAGAGACCTCAGAAGGTCATCAAGTCCAGTCCCCTGCTCTAGGCTGGACCAATTCCAACTAAATCAACCCAGCCAGGGCTTTGTTAAGCCGAGACTTAAACACCTCTAGGGATGGAGACTCCACTACTTCCATAGGTAACACATTCCAATGAGAGATCTTACTAGTGAACACACAATGAATTAAAGAGAACAGTTGAAGGGAATGCAGCAAGTAATGGTGGAACCCCCAGGGGACTGCAAATACAACTAGAGAAAAAAAGGGAAAGTTTATACATCCAATACAATCTGCAGATCAGCTCGTTCCTGGGAAAAATGAATCTCTCTGAAGTGCTCTTTCCTGCCTCCTTCTTTCTCATTAGTTATATTTGGGAAAGAATTTCTTATTTGGAAAAAGTAATGTGCAGCTGCAGACAGATGTACAAGTAAGTTAAGTGACTTGCCTATAGTCCCACACTTAGTGAGTGACTAAAGAAAACCCAAGGTTCTTTCTGCTTCATAGATACGGGGCTTTGTTCCCCTTTCACTTTCGTTCAAGTGAATCAGGAATAACTGCACTCAAGTGAATGGCTTTTACTTTATACAACAACAAGAGAATCCAAGATTTTCATGGCAACCAAACTTTAATTCACAGGCAGACAGTGTCATGCATTAGACTCTCTCCAATTCACTGACCAGTCTTGTTTCAAACAATACCTCCAAAGTGCCTCTCAATCAGTGCCTCCAAAGTTAGTTCTCTGTTGGAATTCAGGAGGCAAGTCTTGCTAACTATATGGGTTCTATCATCAGAACATAAGAATGGCCATACCGAGTCAGTCCAAAGATCCATCTAGCCCAGGATCCTGTTTTCCGACCGTGGCCAATACCAGGTGCCCTAGAGAGAAAGAACAGAACAGGGATTCATCAAGTGATACATCCCCTGTCTCCCATTCCCAGACTGGCCAAACCAATTACACAAACATACTTAGAGGGTCATGTTCACATTGCAAAAATCCTGTGCGCTGAGTGAATACCAGGAAAACTGCTATTTAGCAGCTCAAGGCCATCGTCCCTAACAGTTCCACCTTGTGATGTGCAGCCACAAACCACATATAGAGCCAACTAGAGATGTAAAGGGTTAACCGGTTACCTAGTAAGCCTGCCCCTTTACCAGCCAAGGGCTTTCATCTAGGCTTACCTTGTAATGAAAAATGTATAGTTGTCTTTAACTCACCCATCAAAAAAACAATTATGCTGGAGTAGTACATTTCTGGAGGGCTTTTTTAAATCAAAGAACTTTTTATTATAAAAGATATATTCACTTTTTAATCAAAAATATAGCACCGTTCTAAATTAAGTGTCTGCTATACAGAGAATATTTCCTTCCTGGTGCATGCATGAAACTCCTATTAATATGAATGGGAGGAACTGCACATGGAACAATGGGGAAAATGTGCCTCATTAAATCCACAGCTGTTACTTCATCCCTGCAGGACAGATGAGAAAACCATGCTGATTGTCCTTCCAGTGGTCGTCCCCTTTCTGCTTTATAGAATGGCTCTGGTCATTTCTGGCTCAGCTAATAAAAGTACTAACAGTTTGCTCATCAGTTTTTTCTGGCTTTCCTTTTAGGTATGTCCCCATCTGCTCTCTGTAGTTTTGTTTCATCTGCTTCCTCGGGTATTTCTGCAGTAGGAGGAGAACGGAGACCCAGGCCCACCACAGTAACAACAGTGCACACAGGGAGTAAGTGATCAGAGGCAGAGGATAGAGACGGGAAAGCCATCAGGTCAAGCGTACCTACTCCGAACGATTTCATCCTGTTTTGTGCACTCGGCGAAGGACTAGAAGAGAGAAGATTTTTTATGGCCATATTTTATACTGCAATTCTGAAATGTTTCATTTACCACAAACTGCAATGTCTCCAGGAGGAACGGATCTAGCAGTCTCTGGTGCTGTATATATGAGTCTAGCAATGTTCTAACTAACAGACGCTCATTCTTTTCCCCGGTGATTTGCTTTCTTCTCAGTGTAGCTAACAGTATATGTTGTATTTTTCCATTAACTGAAAAGGACTCTGCTGGATTAATTAAATAGAGGTAATTTTTGAGAATTAGATTTTTTTTTCTTTTAGCAAGTACTTTCAGTCACATCCCTACTTTCAGTTTGCTGAGGGATAAATTACTTCTGTAGGTAGAGATTTGCATTAACCTTACAAACAGGAGGATTTGAAAGGCATGCAATTTTTAACTCCTAAAATTAGACTGTAAACCTGTCAGATCTTGCAGTGTCATTACACTAAAACAATCTGCTTTCCTTCTCTTTCTCCTTCTTGGAAACAATGGTGAGTTGGTTGAAAACAACCAATTATGAGGTGCTGTGAACCAGCAACCCTCATTGATTTTGAAGGAAGTGGAAAAGTTCTATGCTAGGAGCAGCTAGTATGTGAGAAAATATTATGCCTCATCCTGCAGCTCTTATAACCTTGCAGCTCATCAGTAAGGTCACCTAACTAGGAGTGAGGAGAGCCTTGGTAATTTTCCCATCTCTGCCACTGACTCACTGCTTGCAATTTGGGCAAGTGACTTGGGTCACCATTTCCACATGTGGCCTCTGGGTACCTCCAGTTTGGGACCTGTTAATTGAGAGCTGGTGAGCACTGCAACCCACTGACTTCAGCTGAAGTTATTGGCAGCTCAGCACAAGGCCCCAGGTGCCCAGAGCTGGACACCAAAAATCAGAAAGTGTTTTTGAAAGTGTTGGTCTTAAAAAAACCCAAATCTTCTGTGCCTCAGTTTTCCCATCTGTAAAGTGGAGTTAATACTACACACTACAGCATGGGCACAACCTGACTTTCACTGCAGCATGTAAGCTACCTGTACCTTACACCACTGCAGGCATGGACAAAGCTGTAAAGAGTGGCACTGTTACTGCTTTATCATAAGAGTTTTAAATATTCTTGAACAGAAGAGAAAGCCCACTGCACTTATGAACATTGTGACACATATTCAGATCTCTACAATCATTCCCAGATTTGAGTTTTCTTCCTGGAGGAGAAAAAGTAAAAGGGGCGTTCCTAAAAATCAGAAATATTTAAGTACAAGTTGAATCTCTCCAGTCTGGTATCCTTGGGATCTGACTGGTGCTGAACCAGAGAATTTTCTGTACCACTGGAAGGTCAATATTGTCTAGCAGGATTACCAACACTTCCACTGCTTACGAGGCTTTTAGAAGATATTTAGGAGTAAATTAGAGCTAAACTGCAGCACAGAACCCTGAGAACCAGGGCTATGTCTAGACTACATGCCTCTTTTGAAAGAGCCTCTTTCGAAAGAGAGCGTCTAGACTGCACGTTGAACTTTCGAAAAAGCGGCTTGCTTTTTCGAAAGAAAGCATCCAGTGAGTCTGGATGCTCTCTTTCGAAGAAGCCCTATTTACATTGAAGAACACCTTCTTTCGAAAGAGGAACTTTCGAAAGAAGGCGTTCTTCCTCGTGAAATGAGGTTTACCGCCATCGAAAGAAAAGCCGCGTTCTTTCGATTTAATTTCGAAAGAACGCGGCTGCAGTCTAGACGCAGGTGAGGTTTTTTCGAAAAAAGGCTACTTTTTTCGAAAAAACCCCTGAGTCTGGACACAGCCCAGGAATGGTGTCTGTAAACAGACTTTATGGGAACATGGGAAACTTGGCCACACCCATGATAGGTGGACATCTGGCTAACTAAAATCATGCCAGACCATGTATGAAGCCAGACCAGATGGTGCCAGACTAGAGAGTTTCAACCTGTTTTACTAGCTTCCTGTACCCCAAATATATCCAACTCCACAGGGAGGCAAGAATCATTTTTTCTTAAACTATTCTGTTACCACATCCATCTCAGTTGTCTCTAAATAATTTGAAGAAACAGTCACAGACCCATCTGAGCGTGTACAGCCATTGTGAACATGCTACAAGAAGCCATGACATTTACCTTTAATTGAGATTTCAAAGACGTAAGGTGAATTCCTGCCCCCATTGAAGTTAGTGGGAGTTTGCCCATATGCCATTGCATTAGCCATTTATAAAGATATTATGTATAATAGATCTCAGTTAAGTCAGTATTAATCTATACACCATTTTCAGTCTAGCGGTTTGGAGCATGATTTAACTACTTTCCTACAGATGTTCCCCAAAACCCCATATCATAGGGTATGTCTACACTACCCCGCTAGTTCGAACTAGGAGGCTAATGTAGGCATACCGCACTTGCAAATGAAGCCCGGGATTTGAATTTCCCGGGCTTCATTTGCATAAGCGGGGAGCCGCCATTTTTAAAACCCCTCTGGTTCGAACCCCGTGCAGCGTGGCTACACAGGGCTCGAACTAGGTAGTTCGGACTAGGCTTCCTATTCCGAACTACCTAGTTCGAGCCCCGTGTAGCCGCATTGGCTTCATCCCATTGAAATCAGTCAACCTACTCTGATTTTCATCAGTTCAGGATCTGGCCCAACTTGTGCTAGTGACATACCAGAATAGTGATATGCCTACTCAGCTTTTAATACAGCAATTGCTCTTCAAAGAGGTTGTTTGGCTCCATTCTCAAAGCAAAATCAAAAATCCTCAGCCTTTCATTTCTAAGAAACACATTAAAATAGTAGAAACTGGTCTTATTGAAGTCAGCTGTAAAACTTCTTTGGCTTTGGTGGGACAGAAACCTGCTCTAGATTTAGTGGACAGGAATAGCTGTCAATGCTGCAGGACCTCACAGAGATAAGACAGTCTTATCCAAAAACCCACAATATCTAAAACTGGATTGTGCCCCCAACATACAATGTTTAGCATTTAGGGCCTTATTCATATTCATGCTAAGATCTCTTTACACTTCTCTGGAAGCGTAAAAGGAGATTAAAGTGGCTGTAATGGAATTTATGCCTATTATACGGACCATTCATGCTGCAAGGCTGATATAAAGGGACCTTAATTTAGGTAATAATAAGGTCTTACAGGCCTTAAGTTATCTAAAAACTTCTTTTTCCTCATAAATTCAGTTGGCCAGATTCTGATCTTAGTTGTACCTATGTAAATATGAAGACACTTGATTTTTAATCAATGGAGTTACATCACATTTACATTGATTTAACCAAGAATTTGGCTGCAGCATATAAATGATGCTCAAGCAGTCCCCATTTGCATTCTTTTTTAACATCATACCGAAGTTTCTGGTTTTTGGTTTAGTTGGTTATATCAATCAGAATATGGGATGGTCCAAATTTGTCTTGCAAAAATAAAATGTTTTCCTTTTGCAAAATAAAGAGGAATGACATGCAAAGACAAGCCCACTGCAAGAGTGCACTTCCTCAGTTGGTCAGTCTACAACACCTCTATGCTGGACATTACATTTTGCTTTGGCTTTTCAATAGTTTCCACTTCTTCTAAATTGGATATCAGATTTGTCTTAGTGTTACTGGTATTTCACAAGAATGGGATCATTTTATTCTCTCTTTATTTGGACTAGTACCTTAAGAAAAGGAATGGAAAACAATACAAGAAAAATGTTTCTTTCTACAAGAAGTCGAGGAGATGGAAAGCTTTTATTTCTCAAGAATTGTGGCTAGAGATCTGACAGGTATTTGTGGGGAGGAGAGGGCAGAGATTTTTATTGTCATCAATTCACTAAGGATCTATCCCTCTTCAGAGCCAAATCTTCTGTCTAGCAACAGATGTAACTCAGTAGACTACACGCCAGCCTGGCCTGCCAGTTGAATTCTAAACCAGTGTTATAAATGAGTGCAAAAACGAACAGCGTGTAATCAGTGTAGGTGGGTGTGAGATATGATAAGAAAGCACTGCTGGTTATTTTCCAGGGGGCCATTTCATCAAACCTTATTGCATAAGTTCACTTATTGCATGTGGTCTCCATCTCATTTGCCCAGGAGTTCTCTTAGCTTTATTTGTTTAAATGGCACCACCGGTTTTTGTTTTGTTTAATTTTTTTCCCTGTGACTCCCACCTTCTAGTCTTTACTTGCAGCCTTGATTGTTGAATTGTTACCTCCAGATTCACAGTTCTCATTTCTGACACCAACACCGATGTTCCTGTCAGGAGAACATAAACCTAACCTAGCTAACACGAGTAGCCTGCAAGAGAATGCTGATTGCAGTCTGTCTAGGAACTTTGAGACTGAATATCAGCTCTGCGGTATCTGTACCATACCTGCTGATTTTGCATTTGGCTTTTTTTCCTAAAGCAGCTTAGATTTCCCACTGGATTGCCTCCTGAAAGACAAACTGGATATTGAACCTGGTGCACAAGCTCTCAAGGAAGCAGGTGAATGAGAAAATACTGACTGTAGCAGAGGAAACTCACCCTCCCCGATTATGCTTTAATTATTGCTGGGCTGGTAACATCTCTTCAGCATTGATCACAGTCATGGAGGTGCCATCAAACTACTCGGTTCAGAAAAGCTTTATTATTTTACCTTCTTCTGGTTGTTAGGACAGTGGACTGAAATGTAAAAAAACCCTAAAACAAAAACAAAAAACTAAAACAATAGACACTGTTTCGGTCCTGCTAAGGATTAAATGATAAAGTAATGTATATTCTGTGGAGAAAAAATAGAGTTTTCAGGTAGTTCCAAAACCAGAAATTAAATGGGGACTTAACATTGAAGCCAGCTTGGAAAAAAAGAGGTATATCCTCTGTTCCATGAATTACCTGGGTTTGTTTTGCTGTTATTGACAACAGTTGTATCTGTAAGGAGTTTTTCTCCTAAACAGCCCTGGATTTTTTTTCTGCATGCCATGTTTATGCCCTCACTGTCAGTTGCCCTGGTGGTAATTGTGAAGTCACAAGTGAAGCATTAGGCACAAGAAGAGCCATATAAGTACCTTCATAGAAAAAATTGGGGCACTTGACTGGCTGGGGCTTGTTATGGGAATCTCAGCACTGGGGTGAAACTCAGGGAGAAAGGAGCTGCAAATTGACAGAGTAGCATTGGATCAATTTCTCTATTGCCATTCCAGCTTCACACACTGTGAGTGGTGTATTCCTCCTCCATAGAAGAGTGTGGTAGATGGGTTTCCATGGTTACAGACCAATGGTTTAGCCTGGCTCCACCCCACCTTGCCCAATCCTACCTGTCAAAGCTTTTTGCAGTCTGTGGTGCAACTGTGTGATGCACAAGGGATATATTATACCACAGAATCACACCCTTCCTACTGAATCGGAGTCCTCCATTGCCTGCAGGAAGGGCATGGGTATGTATGGACGAAGGGTATCTTGCTCTGCAGGATAAAGCAGGAAGAGCAGATGAGCCATGAGGAGACAAAACCCTGTTCAAGCCCAGATAGCTTTAGTCATTAACAATCAGTGAGAAATTTTTCAACAGAAGTGAATAGGGAAGTGGATCTATAATCAGGGAAATTCAGATTTCCATCTCCACTTGCCCAAGAATATCTGTCTTGTGCAGAGTTGGGCAAATGCTGCAAAACACTGGGTTGTATTTCTAAACAAACAGAATTTCGACTTTGCAGATACTCCAGAGACCCAATGGATTAGTTAGACTGTTTGCAAAGAGAGACCATGGAACCCCCAGTTGAGCAAGATATAAACACACGTGCCTAACTTTAAGCACTTTTGACTTCCACTTGACATTCAGAGGACTCATCATATGCTTAAAGTTAGGTCTGTGCTAATGTACCTTCTGAATCAGGGCTTCAAAGTGTTGTTTTGCCAGACATATCACTTCCTGGGACTAGTCATACACTTCAAGCTGGGCACATGCTGAAGTACCTGGTTGAATTGAGCCTAAATAAATACCAGAGACTATTCATCGTAAGGGAATTTTGTATTCATTATCATGACCATTCGTAACCAAAACCAGATTCTAAGAAATAAGCCCATTCATCCAAAGAACAGAAACAGATCTTGTGATTTGGGTGTCTAATCAAAAGTGTCAAAATCAAATGCAACAGAATGCTCACTAATGCAAAATATTATCCAGCCAGTAATTTCAAGTAACAGATATATGAGGAAATTACAATCTGCAGGTACACATTTGGGGAACAAAAATTCATCTGGTAAATTATTCAGTAGAATATTATTCACCCAACAGAAGTTTTATGTGATCCCTCTAAATTATCTCAAGATTCCAGTACAGTTGTATCTTACCTTTAGATTCATGTCTACTAGACAATT